TGATGATGACGATGATGACGATGCTGAGGAACATGATGATGCTGATGATGCTGATGCTGATCATGCTGATGGTGGTGGTGTTGATGATGATGATTCTATGCTGCTGCAGATGATGATGATGATGATGATGATGATGATGATGATGATGATGATGATGATGATGATGATGATGATGATGATACTGATGATGATGATGATGATGATGATGCTGATGATGCTGATGCTGATGCTGATGCTAATACTTATGCTGATGCTCATGCTCATGCTCATACTCATGCTCAGGCTGCTAATGCTGCTGCTGCTGATGATGATCGTACTGATGATGATGATGATGCTGATGGTGATGCTGATGCTGATGATGATGATGCTGATGACGATGTCGATGGCGACGACGATGATGCTGATGCTGATGATGACGACAATTATGATGATGATGATGATGATGATGAGGATGAGGATGAGGATGATGATAATGATGATACTGCTGCTGCTGCAGCTGCTGCTGCTGATGATGATGATGGCGGTGATGATAAAGATGATGATATGCTGCTGCTGCTGCCGATGATGATGATGATGATGATGATGATGATGATGCTGATGATGACGATGATAATGATGCTGACGATGATGCTGATGATGGTGATGATGATGCTGATGATGAGGATGACGACGATGTTGATGATGATGATGACGATGATGATGATAGCTGTTGCTGCTGATGATGCTGATTATGATGGTAATGCTGCTGATGATGATGCTGATGCTGATGCTAATGATAATGAGGAGGAGGGGGAGGAGGATGTGGTGGTGGTGGTGGTGATGGTGATGATGATGATGATGCTTCTGATGATGATGATGCTGATGATGATGATTATGGTGATTCTGATGATGCTGCTGATGATGATGATGATGATCTGAGGATTGTACGATAATGCTGATGACGATGATGCTGATGACGATGCTGATGCTGATGTTGATGCTGCTGCTGCTGCTGCTGATGATGATGATGATGATGATGATGATGATGATGATGATGATGATGATGATGCTTCTGGTGATGATAGTGATGATGATGAAGATGATGATGATGATGATGTTGCTGATGATGAGGATGATGCTGGTGCTGATGATGATGCTGATGCTGATGCTGATGCTGATGCTGATGCTGTTAACGATGACGATGACGATGATGCTGATGATGCTGATGATGATGATGATGAGGAGGAGGAGGAGGAGGCGGAGGCGGAGGAGGAGGAGGAGGAGGAGGAGGAGGCGGGGGAAGAGGAGAGGAGAGGAGGAAGAAGTAGTAGTAGTAGTAGTAGTAGTAGTAGTAGTAGTAGTAGTAGTAGTAGTAGTAGTAGTAGAGGAGGAGGAGGAGGAGGAGGAGGAGGAGGAGGAGGAGGAGGAGGAGGAGGAGTAGGAGGAGCACGGGGGAGAACGATGAGGATGACCCCCGCGGCTTTGTCGCTGCCCAGGTCCAGCGGCGGGGCGACTGGTTCTGGAGAAATCCCGCCCCAGCCGCGCCGGTCGACGCCTGCCTGACCGCCAGGGAGGGCGACCGCTGCCACAAGGCCGTGAAGTACGCCGTCGAGAAAGGCCTCGAGATTATATTGAAGACGGGAAATCTGCACAAGTATCGGCACCCAGACCTCCAACGTCTTGAAAAACAAGAGGGAGGCTTTTCGTAGTGTTCGACCTCTGGGGGCCCTCGCCAGGGCCCAGGACAATCAAGAAACGACCTGGGACGAAAATCTGGTCCCGAGGAAGTGGTCTGAGTTTCGGGGGCCCCATATGGAGCCAGAACCAGGACGTTGTATCCGTGGAAAGCCGAAGAAGAAAAACAGCATACAAATAAATTTTCGGAGGTTTGCCCGGATTTCCGGAATCTGCGCTGTGTCCCCTTGGCGGCGTCTCTGGCGACGCCCCCGGTGCGTTCCGCGCGCCAAGGAGGGGGATCCTGCGCCGATCCCAGAAATCCGCGCGGACCTCCCGCAGTTTATTCGCATGCTGTTTCTTCCTCTTGCACTGCAGTCGAGACTTTGGGATCCGGTCCGCTTTGGTCCCGAAAGGCGGCCGAGGATCCTCAGGCCCTTCTGTGTAGTATTTTTTTGTTATGGCGCTCTTGGTGTAGCATCGCATAGCTTAGCATAGCTTAGCATATCATAGCTTAGCATAACATAGCATAGCATAGCATAGCTTAGCATAGCACAGCATAGCTTAGCATAGCACAGCGCAGCATAGCATAGCATAGCATAGCATAGCATAGCATAGCATAGCATAGCATAGCATAGCATATCATAGCATAGCATAGCTTAGCATAGCATAGCATAGCATCGCATAGCATAGCATAGCATAGCATAGCATAGCATAGCATAGCTTTCCTAAATGCTCTAAATCCTAGGTAGGGTCGCACTGTGACAATTTATGGCGCTCTTGGTGTACCAGGGCTCGGGGGGAGGACCAGCTGAGGCAGCGGCGGCGCTCCCGCCTGGCCCCGGCACGCTCGAAATTGCCCCGAAGGTCCCGAGCTGCCCTCCGTTGCCAGGGGGGGGCGCGGGGAACACGGGCAAAAACACACACGAAGCCCTCCCCCCCCCAACCCGAAATTCGGGCGAAATTCGGGTCTTCGGGTGGGGTTGCGGTGGTCTGGAGCATTGGCAGGTGGTCACCTCCAGGGTCCACCCCTACCCGCTTTCCGAGGCCGATCCAGCCGTGGCGACGAGAGGCCAGGAGGAGGAGGAGGAGGAGGAGGAGGAGGAGGAGGAGGAGGAGGAGGATGAGGAGGAGAGGGAGGAGGAGAGGAGGGAGAGGAGGAGGAGGAGCAGGAGGAGGAGGAGGCGGAGGAGGAGGAGGAGGAGGAGTTACTTCCAGGGTCCATCCCGACCCGCTCTCCGAGGCCGATCCAGCCGTTTCGACGAGCAGCCTCCAGGAGGCCCGGGAATAAAAAGGGCGCCAGGGAGGACCGCTGTGGCATCGTCCGGCCCTCCTCCGACGAGCGCGCACGTCCCTCTGCGGGGGGAGAATTCAAAAATAGTCAAAGACTAGCCTGGGGACGATTTTTTGACCATTTTTTGGCATTTTTGGATAGTTTAGGGA